AAAAAATAAAAAATAAATAAAAAAATATTTCAAATACACACACACACACACACACACACACACACACACACACAAACACACAAAGAAATGCTTACTACTGTGGTTCTCAAACAGTCACGCCCTGGAGGGCTCATTAAAGCAGATTGCTAAGCCCCACCTGTAGGGTTTCTGATTCAGTTCCTCTGGGCTGGGGCCTGAGAATCAGCACTTCTAACAAGCTCCCCCGGGGGCTGCTGCTATTGACCTTATTAACTACACTGTGAAAATCACTGGGCTTAAGAGTCTGGATTTTGAAGCTCAAATAACATATCGCTGGAGCAGCTCCTCACCCTCACCTCCAACCTACTTGGCAGCAACAGGGCAAGCCAGTGGCTGGAATTTTCCAGAAGATAGTATACTGAAATCCCCTAGTAGAGGCCTTATTCCTTTAGATTAGACTTTGGTCTGTATTAAAATGCAATGCTCGTTGGAGGAGGATCAGGAGTTCATTTGACAAACATTTATTGAGCATATTCTATATACCAGCCACTAAACTGAACTCTGGAGATTTGAAAATCAAACTTACAGTTCTTGTGAATTGGGGCATAATGACGTCTACTTAAAAATAACTACCAAACAGTGTTAAAAGATGGCCCATAGAGAGGTCACCAAAAGGGGAATGGGGGAGGTCAGGCTGGCAGCCTGGTGACTCAGCTGAAGCTTCAAGGGAAGGATCATCTCCTCCTCTGCGAGGGGCTTAGAAAGACCGGAGGGGGAGAGAACATGAGGCTGCCGAACGCCCGAAGAGGATGAGGAATGGGCTTCTCAGTGCAGCCCAGAAACTTCTGGGGAAGGTAAGTGGTGCTTTGCATAAAGTCAGGGCCAATGCTGTCATATAGACAACCTTTCTGAGAATTAGAAAAAGGTGGCCTCTCTACACACACACTTTTTTTTTTAATTAAATTTTACCGCGATGATAATTGTTAGTCAAGTTACATAGGTTTCCGGTGTACTGTAATACATCTTCTGTATATCACATTGTATGTTCACCACCCAGAGTCAGGTCTCCTTCCTTCACCATCTATTTGATTCCTTTTACCCTCATCTACCACCCACCTCCCCCCTTACCTTCTGATAACCACTAAACTATTGTCTGTGTATACAGGCACATTTTAACAAGGGCTCCTCTGGGCAAATGAACCAGAAAAAGCCGCCCTTTTCTCCCTACTCACCCAGGGCACTGGGGAGTGGAATCTAGCTGCATTTTCACCAAGCCCTCAAACCAAGTAGGCTCTGCCAATGCTACCATTCAGGCTACATATCACACCCAGGGTGACTGCTTGACCCTAAAAGTATTTCATTCACTTCTGGGTTAGTAGAAGCTGGAGAGAGAAAGCAGGCTTCAGGCCTTTGTAGTAACACTGCGGGATTTGTACTTGAGGCGGCTTCTCTGTGGGTTCCCTTTGGCTGCAAAATAAGACGGTCTGAGAAATGAGGGCTGCTCCAGATAAGTGGCCCCGAGTGACCCGTGCAGTCAGCTCTTTGATCTCGAAGGCACTTCCCTGCTTTCAGCATCTATGGCTGGAGCAGAGCCACCCAGGTGCAATCCTGGTCATTTATATAGAACCACTGCAAAGAGAAAAGAAGCCTGAAAGTGGATTTGTTCAATAAATATTTATAGAGCAACTCCTCCTCTCATCACCTTGCATTTGGATAGCACTTTACTGTTCATAACGTATTTTTATGTTTCCTCTATAATATTTCCTTCTTGGCAGCAACTCTGTAATGTAGGTAGAAACTATTATCAGCATTTTACAGATGAAGAAACAGGGTCTCAGAGAAATTGATTCATGCAAGGTCATATGAAGGAACCTTGGCAAAATGAAGGCTAGAAAGCTGGCTCTTAGGACAGGGTAGTTTCCACCGTTCCAGACAGTTCTATGTTGGCTGGTAGAAGAGATGCAAAAGCCCCTAAGATGTTCCCATCAATAGAAATATAATGTGAACTACATAGATAATTCTGAATTTCGGGGAGCTAAAAAGAAGCAAGTGAGTTTTATTTTAATAAAAATTATCAATCCAATTTTAAAAAATATCAATTCATCATGCAGTAATTATAAAGCAATATCAATGACATGTTTTCAAGTTCATTTGTTTCGTAGTAAGTCTTAGAAATCTATGTGTATTTTACATTTAGAGCACAACTCCATTAGAATGCCAAATTTTGATTGGAAATACTTGATCTGTATTTAGATATCATTTAATTTACAACTGAAAGGTAGATTCATGGACTCAAGTTGATCCAAGCACACTTAAAAGTTTTCCAATAACTAAATTGAGGACCAGTTTTGAGTTACATTTACATTAAGAACAAATAAAAACCTTAAATTTAGTTCCTTAGTGGCACTAGCCACATTTCAATAGCCACATGTGGCTAGTGGCTTCTGGCTTAGAGAGTGAAGCCCTAACATATAACCCCTCTTCCCAGGAACTTGTAGTCCAGTAAGTCCGATATGTAATTTAGTCTATGTGTTAGCATAGCTTAGACTTGTCCCGTGATAATCACGTTAAAAGTTGGCCTTCTCCATCCTTACCCCTCATTGCCCATCTCTTTTGATGGCCTCCTCGAACTTAATTAAAAGCTGCTCTCTCTTCCTCATTCCCCCAGCTGCCTGTCTGTACGCGCACTCCAGAAGATGGATGTCGTAATGGCCCAGGGGAAGAATGTCTTTGATAACAGTAGCTTTATAACTTTTAGTATAGAAACTGAGAACAATCTGGAAGAAAGAGTGGAGGTATGGGAGGTTCGGAGAGCAGTATATTTAGGCACGATATGATGCAGCTTCCTATCCTTCTGGAACATCTTTGAGGTACCCAGGACTCTGGGCATCAGAAAGGCTGGTTCTTCTGCTTTTAAAAACAAGTTCGTCTTGATAGAATCTGACCATCTAAATTCTGGTTGGATTTTCATAGTAACTAGAAATGGCAATCTGTTTCTCCCAGAAAAAAAAAAAACACAAAAAGTCTTGTTATCTAAAAGCATAAGCAAAAGTGTACCCCACTCACTGGATCGGGTTGAGGGCATTGTCCTGATTTTCGGAATACTTGAGTCCTTCTTCATCTGCTGCTATGCATCGGAAATGCATGTTTGCCTGTTTCCCTTCCTACATGTGAAGCCTTGGCAAAGACTGCTGCTGCCTTTGAGGATGAGCATCACCTGTGTCTTTGTTTTCCTGTAACCTCATCAGACCTTGGTCCATAGGATTCAGGGACTCTATAAATATATTGCAAATATAAATTAGGTGTATCCAAGCCATCGTTTAAAATCTCCTTATTATTAGGGCCTCAGCTCCACTGAAAACACAGGTAGAACTGTTTCCTTGTCCCATGCTTCCCTGGTCCTTTGTTCTCCATGGGGGTTGGAAGTGGGGGCTGAGGTAATGAGGGTGCAGGTCCAGGCTGGTCTGTGAAACCCGACCCAGAGTAAATTTGGTTATTAAACTCCTCGTCTTAAACGCCCTAAGTTAAGCTAGTTGATGTTAGCTGCTGGGAACACAACACTGCCAAACAGACAAGCAGGAGCCTGTCTGTCCCCTCAAATATTTTACAATTGGAGGGAGGTATGTGTCATGGCTTTCAAGGTTACCAATTTCCTTAAAAGCACATACAATCAAAACTCATTCAAACACTTCTACTAATAAGTAAAAGAAGTATTGGGGTGAAGTAGCATTTCCCATTAGTCCCTAGGAGGTCCTGCTAAACAAAAGTTCCACGATCAGATAAGCTTGAGAGATGTGGTGGCCTGTCTTCCTCTATTAGAGACTCATTCAAGGCAGGAAAAAAGCTCTATTGCAAGAAAGCCTGTTCAGCTTGGTTTACCAGGGTTTAACTAAGCTTAATTGATTGTGACACCTACTTTTTCAGGGAGCACTTGTGAACCACTTAAAAATTATCGTTCTCTTAACTTATTTGGAACATGCCAATTTTAAATAATCCACTTCCAGTCTCCATTAAGTTCTTAGTTATAATTCTTTTAGCAGGACATCAGGCTAACTAAGCAAGTATCTAAGGTAGCTTGTGGCATATACAATTTGTGAAAATGGTCAACTTCTGGTATTTAGTTCTGTAGTCATACTTGACCCAATAATGTTAAATTTTAATGTTTTAACAAGTTAACAATTCTTGAAAATATTAAAAGAAATGAAATAGGCTGATTTTTAAAAATCTGAATTCACTAATGATATTTTTGCTGTAGATATTTAGCGCCATCATTCCACAGACCAGAGCGTTTTCTGATTGTGACTCCATTAAAAACTTGAACTGAACTAACCTAACATTAACTTGCATTCATTCATTTAGTCAGTGAGTCAATCATCAGTAAAATAGGTCAATAAATGTTTTCTGAGGACCTAATAGCCATGAAATAGTCCTTACCCTCCTATTCTTACAGCCCAGAGGGGAGTACTAAAGTAATAAGAATAGAAAGAAAGCATAAGAGGTCTGAGAATAAACATCAGGGGGCTTCTACCTATCCAGCTCGAAATTCAGATCTCTGTAAACTAGAAAGAATGCATAGCGTAAGGAGCCCAAACTTCATCCAAAATGAGAAAACCCTTATTAGTTAGGAAAGATAAATCCCAAATAATTGTTTATAGCATTTCCAACAATAAAATCGATGGCCTGCATGTGAAATTAATTGAAAGCCACAGTTCTGATAGATTGTTTTGGTGATTAAGCAACATTAGATTGAATTGTTTCAGAATGCCTAATTATTGTGCCTGCCACACTCATCTCTTTGAGTCATTCCTAACTTTTGGATTGCTGCTTATATCCTGTGTGCAGTTGCATCTTCTTCCTCTTTCTCACCTGTTTTTTTTTAATGCATAACTTTCCTCACTATAATCAAAGGGCACAGCTCTAAGTTGCATTTTTCCAAATTCTAGATAAGAGCTAAAGAGTTTGTTATAGTGTTGATGCCATTGAATTTGGGTGTCAGCTGATATTTTATTGGTGTTTTGCAGGTTTATGATTTTAAAGTGCCTGTGTGAAGTCACTTGCTGAGAACTGCAGCCTGGGAGCTCTTGCTGGTTTTCAAGTCTTGTTTTTCTGTCAAATACACGTTACCCTGACCTTATGAGTGGATGAAGATACCTCAATTGTCTGACTTTGCCAAGTGCTTGATTTCAGAATTTTAAAAGAGAGAAGGAAAAAGAAATCCTGCTAAGATCTGAACATCTAAGTGGCTTATTCTCCAGCACTGTCAATAGCGGTGAGCTTCAGAACTAAATATTCTCCCAAGGAGTGCCATGATATTGAAGTCACTTTATTAAGAACACTTGTGTCTGCAAAACAGTCAAGAGACTTGGACGTTTACAGCCAGAGATGACACTGAGCGTGCTTTTATTTCAGCCCACAGTCTTCACGTGGGGCATATTGATTGATGAGTGACTGCCTGCCAATAAATTATCTCCTCACTCTGTTTCTTGCATTGGATTTCATTAAGCAATTTATCACTTACCTTCAGACTTACATGTGGGGTTTTTCAACACAATAGTTTTGGAATCATTGGAACTTGGATTGATTTCATCATTTACCAGAAACTAACACAACCCAAATTACTTTATCATCATGGCTTTGAATGTTGCCCCAGTCAGAGATACAAAATGGCTGACATTAGAAGTCTGCAGACAGTTCCAAAGAGGAACATGCTCACGCTCTGATGAGGAATGCAAATTTGCTCACCCTCCCAAAAGTTGCCAGGTTGAAAATGGAAGAGTAATTGCCTGCTTTGATTCCCTAAAGGTAAGATAATGCATTTTATGTGTCACATCAATGACCTATTCAACTATCAAATGAAATGTTTTTTATTGTACTTTTACAGAAGTTTAAACAATTGCTTTTAATTCTGTTTTCTTGTTTGTGGTAACTATTGGGAGATTTTTCACTCAAAGTTTTTCATATCAGGCATATATAAATTTTTTACAGATCCATGTTTAAATTAAAAATACATGATGGTGTATTTTTGGTCTGGCATGACATTCATGTACTCAAGAGTTTTAAATCAAAGTCTGGCTTGTGACAACTAAAGATAAATATTTTATTAACATTTGATCTTCTGGAGGTTATAGAAAGGTGAAGAAATTGAATGTGTCACTTTTATGTGCCAGTGACTCTGATTCACCTCCTAAAGGATTTTCTACTCTGTGGTTTTTTTTCTTGACCAAGGGTTTCCTAAAACACTTCTTAATGTGTTTTTCATTCTCTTAGACACTTTTACATGGCTAACAGAAATTACTGAGTACATACTCAATACTCCTTGAGAACCTACTATGTGAAAATTAAAACATAACACTTCACAGAAAAGAAATAAATGTGATTCAAGATGGTATCCTTGATGATCTCACCATCTGGTAGGGGAAACACAGCACATCAGCAAATAATTATAATGCAAGACAGAAAGGAGAACACATTATAAGGGAGGAATAGAGGGAAGACTTCTATGGGGTCCATAGAAGGGAGAGCTGGCTTCCAGATGACTATTTCAAGAGACATTTTTGGAGGCTATGGCACCGGAGTTGTATACTGAGTTCAGTGGAGTTTGGACTTGAAGAAATGGGGGAATAATAATGACAAGTCTAATTGAAGGAAATGAGGGTGACTTAGCCCACAATTCTTTGAGGTTTATTTTGCCCTAAAACTATGGATTCTATGAATCCCAGATTGTCTCGGACAGTCCTAACATCATTATGATATTGTTTACAATGAAGATAAGTAAGAAATATAGCTAAAAAGGGTTTAATGTTTACATCTCTGCAAAACTTCGTTTAAATAAGCTTACCAAACAGTAAAAAAAAAAAAAAAAAGTTGAGCTACACTTTTTTTTTTTAAGATTTTATTGGGGAATTGGGGGAGGGGAACAGACAAGTTGCTGTCCTTTTGTTCTTCGGTCTAGTTGTGGAGGATGTCACTTCACTGGCCCATATTGGTATTATCATTGTGCTCTTCCTGGCTGAGGCAGATCGGTCTCCGGCCATTGGATGGCCACTCACAGTGGCTCACGGCAGCTCAAGCCGGCTGCCAGCCACTCACTGTAGCTCATGGCAGCCCACTGCAGCAGGGGCTGCAGCCTACACCATCACTGGTGACTCACAGCAGCCCAGCTCCAGTTGGAGCTGTTGTTCACCATCTTAGCTATAGAGGGTGCAGTGTCACTGGCCCTCATGTGGGATCCGAACCGGGGCCCTGGTGCGTGCTCAGAGCTGGCATCCCAAGCCAACGCTTAACCAGCACACCACTTGGCCGGCCTGAGCTATTCTTTTGATATATGATTTGGGAAATCACAGTGCTATGAGTTTATAAAATAGTGACCTTACCTATTCTTGGGTATTGAAGGGATTGGGTATGTTTTGGGGGGGAATTTTCATCTTAAAGTAAAAAATTAGGTCTTTTAAGACTTACAAGTCAAAATTAAATATAAAAGACTTCAAAACATATATTTAAGTATATCTTAAAGGGAAAATTTGTCTGTACACTATAGCCCAACAGGAGTCTTTTAAGGGTTAAAATTTCAAAAATTAGATATGTTATTTACCTCAATAACTATCAGTATTTTATTCTTTTTTATCATAAAAATGTTTTAAATTAGACTTTAAAATTATAAAACATTTTGTCTACACAGAAATGAATAGATTGATAAATCACAATTCATGTGAACTATAAAAATATAAGCACATTTATATCTTAGTTTTTATTTTTCTTTTAGTCAAAAAAGTACTTAAGTATGTATTGACTTCTATGATTATTGCCAATGGAATCATTCACTATAAAAAGAAGTGTAGATTAAAAACTAGATCATAAGAACTTTGATACCAAAACAGGTCAGAGATGAGAAATTCATTTTCCAGGTCATTCCCAGTTCCTTCATTTTATTAATCCAAGCCTTGTCTGGCTGCGTATTAACCATTAAACCAACATTTTAGCAAGTTTCTTAAAACTTAATTTTTTAAAACTAGGGACACTTGAGGAAATAAGCCCTACCTATTAAAGCTAAGTATTTCTTGAATATCAACAGGACAACAGATCCTTATAATTCATTACCTCACTGTTGATTCACCCGGCCCACAATTGTTTGAGAGTTCCAACCCATGGGTAAGACCAAGAGCAGTTATATTTAGTGTAAAAACATGAATCAAGCTGTGATTATGTTGAGCATTGTTCAAATGAAAAGGAGATTTAAAAAGCATTTCAGAACTGTCTAGTAGAACTATTTTCAAGTGTTTCAGCATAGTTATATATATTGCCTCAAGTCATCAGTTCCCTTTAGAATTGCAAATTTTCAGGTTATTTAATTTGATTGTGATGTTACATATTTTTTAAGTCACCAAACTGTAAAAAAATGTGAAAAGAGCCCACAGGCACAGGAGTAAGAGAGACCAGAGTCCAAATACCTGCCCAACCACTTCCCAGCCTTGGGTGGGTCATTTATCACTTCTTGTCTTTGTTGTCTCATCAGTAAAACAAGGACAGTCATTTGTGAACTTGGCTGAAATATGCACATTGTCCCGCATAGTGCTGGCATATTCACCTTGCGAAATGGGTGTAAGAATGTCGTGTCCTTACAACAGGGGCTGTGGTAAATAAAAACTTGCTTATAAATAGTAGCTAAAAAGAGCAATGGTGGTGATAATGAAACTATTTAATTTTATTTCATTTAATATATTGAAAAAGACGGTGTTGCCCAGTGGATCCAGCCTGAGATAGAGAGAAGGGCAGGGGCTTTGGAGTCAGACAGGGAAGGACTTGAACAAACCCTGACTGGGACATGGGCTCGCTGTATCATTTGAGACCCTCTATTTTACCTCCTGGACTTCAGTTTCCTCTTGTTTAAAATTGATATAATAATTCCTACTTCATAAGATTACTTCCAAGACTAACTGGCTCAAATATGCCAGATGCCCAGCAAAGACCGGACATACTAGCGATTGGCCATGTTAGTTTATTTCCTTGCATAATAAACTATCACAGTATAAACGCTGGTTTCGAAGACTGGCTTTACAAACAAGATTATGTCCAACTCTTAAAGTATCCAACTCTTAATGCATCCAAACTCAAGAATCTACCATGTGAGTGATAATGCCTCAGTGGTACAAATCAGTCAGGACATTAAAAGAATTCAAGTTTGAGGCAGACACCACATCATCTTTTACTCTTGTTATTTATTACAAGATATTTTCTACAAACACTGTGGGGTATTTTTATTCCTAAAAATAGGTACAAGGAATTAGTGTTGGGCCTGTGAGATAGACACAAGTCAGTTGTGAGCCTGAGATGGTTTTTATTTGTTGTTTTTTGTTATGTGTTACTTGTATACATGAGTAAACTTTTATAAATACATACTAAACAGATTTCTGGGTGTTTGGAAAAGAGATTTGCTGAGGTCTTTGGAAAGAGAGTTATACATATATAAATACTTTTACAAAAGATACTTCAGAAAATATAGCAGAGCTCTTACAGTAACATTTATACTTTATTCACAACTCTTACCTTGTTGCATTTTATGTGAAACTACTGGGCATACAAGAATTCATGATTTTATTTTTAAGTTACAGTATTATTATGAACAATGTAATTGCTTCAATCTTTTCTGGAAGGCCAGAACATTCTGGAACACTGTGTTCCAGGAGTTAGATTAACTTAACAAAATACAGATTTCTTCTTGAGCAACTAATGTCCCTGTAGCAAAGGTCTTGACCACCCGTCCCTACATTTTTATGGCCATAAAACAGTTTCTCTCACAGTGGAGATGTTTGAGATTTTTCTTTTCAGGTTCTTCTTCTTGTGACTGATAGAAATTAATCTGGATTGTTTTGTAAATTGAAACATCCAGAAAAGAATAAATGAATTCGCTTTAATGCTTACTGAGATGAAAGATTTTGGCATTTACCACTTTCATCAGGTATTTAATATATTTGTTTAATTATCTAAATTTGAAGTCAGCTTAACAAAAGAAAACATTATTTTTAAAATACGTTACTAATTTTTGCAAAACAAAAAACCCACACCTAGAGTATTTGGGAAAATTGTTTAGCCCTCACATAACCTTTCACAATAAAAATTAGTTCAAAGACCATGTGATTTTTTTCAATGCCTAAATCAGAGGATGTTACTCCTCTATTCCAGTGGTATCCCATCTTGCCCAAAGTTAAGACCACACAATCCTTACAAAAGCCATCGAGGGCCGAGGAGATCTGCTTCCCACGCTTAGTCCCCTAACTTCAGTCCTACCACTGCTCCCTCATCCAACCCACTCCCGCCATCCCACCTCTATGCTCTCCACTGAACGTGCCAAGCAGGCTTTCTTCCGGGAACCTTAGGGTGTTTGCACTTGCTCTTCGCTCTGTCTGAAATGTTCTTGCCTCAGTTATACGAACAGCTTGTTCCCTCACTCCCTTCTGGTCAAAAATGCCAACAGTGAAGTCTTTCTGCCAACCTTGTTTCAAAAAGCAATTCCCTCATTGCTGGGATCCCCTCATCGTTTTGCTTTCCTGCTCGCCCTAGCGCTTACCACCATCTGACTCAGCATGTACTTGATTTGATTTTTGCTCATCATCTGTCTCCTTTCTCCACTCTGCCAGATTGTAAGCTCGGTGTAGATGGGGATCAAGTCTTTTTTGATCCATTGTGTATTCCCAAAGCCTAGAACAGTGTCTCGTACATAGTACAATAGATGCTCATTAAGTATTTGTTGAATGGTAGAGCATGTTCATCAGGAAAGTATTGAAGCCTCTCAGATGGTTTTACAG